GACTACGTGGGAGTCCAGCGACATAGCCATTACGCTAACTGCTGGTTCCCTGGATTTATAGTTTTCATCAAATTTGAAAAAAAATTTGCACTCATTTTTCTTTTTAGAGAGATTCTTGCTGGAGGGTGCATGCTAAGCTTACTTGAGAGACAGAGAGACAGAAGCGAGAAATCACCCCCAGGGGGGGATGGCCATGCTGCAATCCTTCTCTTCCATTCTCTTCTTGGGATTTTGGGCATGCATGCACATATGACCAGTGCGAGTTTGAAGCCACCAGGCCCAGGTAATCACACCACAGTCAACTACGTAAGAGCCCAGCGACGTTACCATTGCACCTTCTTCTGCTCCCTGCACTCATTTTTCACTAATTAAAAAGTTTGGATGTTGGGGCCAGCAGTTGGCGTGGTGGTTGGGGCCCTGGATTCCCATATTGCCAAGTGCAACTCAAGTCCCAGACCTGGTGGCTTGAAAATCATGCCGGGCACGTGTGCGTGCATGCCTGAGGTCCTGGGAGAAGAATGGAGGAGAAGGGATTGCAGCTTAATCATCCCCCTTGGGAGAAGGTTTCTCACTTTTCTTCTCATGGTCTCTTGCTGTCTCCCTCCTCTCTGGCAAGCACACGCACCCTAGGACAAAAACCTTAAGAGAAAAAAAGTTCGTTATTTCTTTAAATCTGTTTCCCATCCGCTTCTGCCCTCTATCACGTTGGGTCTCTGACTTTGGGTATATTGGGCCGCTTGAAGTGGGCTATGAGGCTCCGTTCATTAAATTCAGTCTCATCCTTCTCTCTGAGGTCACTTTGAATAGTTAGTATGGCCATTTCTTTGAGTCCATTCATCTTCCTTTCTGTAATGTCTACTCTTCCTGGCCTGTGTATTTCCACCTCAGAAACTGTAATTTTCCTCCCTACACATTTGATTCAGGACTGTTTTGCATCTTCCAGGTCTCCACTTACTACATTTGGTCTTTCCTCTTGAACATGTGGGATCCAGTTGTAATGTCCTTGTCTACTCCTCCTGTCATTTCTAGGTCAATTTTGATTGATTGATTTTTCTTCTCATCATGGGTTGTGTTCTGCATTCTTCGCATGCCTTGTAATCTTTGATCAGATGCCAGACATTGTGAGTTTTACCTTGTTGGGTACTGGATGTTTTTGTATTCCTATAAATATTCTTGCTGTTGTTACGCTACTTATAAACAGTTTAATCTTTCTGGGTCTTGCTTCTAAGATTTGTTAGGTGGGTGTACAGTAGACTTAATTATTCTGAATTAATGAAGCAAGATCCTTTCGAACACACAACCAGGATCCTGTGAACTCCGAACTTTCCTGGCAGGTGGAACAAGCACTTTCGTAGCCATGTGTGAGCTCGGTCCATGGCTCCCTCTTATCTCCTTGGTTAGCTCTTTCCTGGCCTTTGGTAGTTTCCTTT